ACAAAAAGGACCAGATGGACTTACAAGTAAATTCTAATTAACATTCAAGGAAAAATTAATTATATCAGTACACAAATTATTTGCAACAACAGTGAAAGAACTACCAAACTCCTTTCTAGACAAATATCCTGATATCAAAAAGCAGGGTGAGACTTTAAGAAACAAAGCTACAGACCAATATCTCTAACCAATATTGTTGCAGAAATACTGAATAAAACATTAACAAAAGGTTACTGCAACATATTTAAAAGTATACAATATAACCTGGCTGGCTTTACCCCAGGAATGCAGAAGTGTATAAATTTTAGGAAAAATATAAACATAGAAACCATATTAATAACAAATAATAAAAATTACATGATTATAACAATAGATGCATAAAATTTTTTGACAAAATATCTGATTATGTTAAAAACATCGCTCAGGAATAAATGGACTTTTTCTTAATATGGCAAATAGTATCTCCTCTTTATGTGTTAGAAAATGAGGGGATGCCCATCAACTGGGGAATAGCTGAACAAGTTGTGCTATATGACTGTGATGGAATACTATCTTGCTATAAGAAATGAGTAGTAGTAGTATGCTTTCAGAAAAACCTGGGAAGATGTTATATGACCTGATGCAAAGTGAAGTGAGAAGAACCAGGAGGATATTGCACAGAGTAACATCAATATTGTAAAGATGTTCAACTGTGAAACTACACTGATCAAAACAATGATCTAAGACAATTTCAAAGGATCTATGATGAAAAATGCTATCCATCTCCACAGAGAAAACTGAAACTCGGAGTGCAGACTGAAGCATGTTTATTTTACTTTCTTTACATTTCCTGGGTTTTTTTGTGTGTGTTTTCTTTTACCTTCTCAAAGGGTAGGTGGAGAGAGAACAGGACAAAGGAATAGAATTTGGAACTCAAAATTTTTAAAAATGAATGCTAAAGATGTTTACATGTAATTAGAAAATATTTAATAAAATAAATAAAAACATACTAAAGAGGAATTTTTTTTAAAGAATGTAATTATTGAACTATAAAGAATATCAAAAGGGACAGATTCAAGGGAACCTGAACTGATAAAGAAGTGATCAGAACTAGAAAGACTATTTAACACAATGACCACAACACTGTAAAGACAAACAAATTCTAAAAGACTTTACAACTCAGATCAATGACCAATCACACTGCAGAAGACTGTCAATGAAGCATGCTGCCTCTTAGCACAGTGATAACGGGACTATAGGTGCAGAATGAGACTATATTTCTGAATACAATTCAAACAACAGAGATTTGTTGTGCTTGATAAAAGGAAAGAGTTTTATTAGAGGGGAGAGATGCAGGGAATGAAGAGTAATGGTAATGCCCAAAAAAAAGCCCAAAACCATAAATAGGGCAATGTTGATCCCAACACACTAAACTTAATATAAATTAAAAATAAAATACAGATTTGTGGTTTCATATATAAACTTTTTCTAACTGGTAACTAAAAATATAGACTGAATCCACACTAAAAATCTTTCCAGAATGACAGAACCTACCATGGTTTACAATGTAGTGGGACAGGCTTCAAGAACCTAGGATCAATTCCACAACACAATGAGGCCTCAAAGCAGGAATCTGTGTAGGATCAACTTACCTTAAAGCAAGGAAATAAAGAATTGTGGGTAAAGAGCACTTCTCTGGACGGAGAAATTTTTAAAATGAATCTGCCTCCCAGGTATCAGTGCTGGGACTGGTATTATTTAATATTTTCATAAAAAATTGGGAAAATGGGATGCACAATGAAAAATCTAATAGCAAAAACATTAAACTAAGTGGGATTGATTAAAGACCTCAAAAATGCTGTTAAATTTGCAGAAGAATTGGCAGATGAGTTTCAATGCAACCATAAATAGTTATATTTAGAAAAAATAAATCTAAACCATATTTATGAGAGTGTAGTCTAGGTGGTCGGTTAAGATCCAGAAAAGGGATACAGGAATCATTATAAACTGCTCTCAATGACAAAAACATCTACAAATGTTGAACACTGTCACAAAGAGTTTAGAAACAAAAGAGAAAATATTATTTTACCCTTCTCCAAAACCTTGATGTATCTGGACCTGGAAGAGTATACATAGTTCTAGTATTCATAGATCAACACAACATGAATATGGAGGTGGTCCAGAAAAGGATGATTAAAATAAGCAAAGGATGGGAGAACTAGTAAGACAAAGAGAGGTCAAGGCACTTCTTTCTTGAAAGATAATAGTAAGAAGAGGTATATGATCAATGTCTATAAAATATGAATGACATGGTTCAGTGAACATAAACTTATTTAACAAATATGGGAATATCAGAATTTAAAGGGAACTATTGAATCTTATGAAAGAAGACATTTTGTGACAAAATATATGTTGGTAGTCACAAATTTATCGAGCTGATAATTTCAAGAGAGTAAAGGCCCTCAAATATAAGTAGGTTCAAAGGAAAATTAAAATAAGTTGATGAATGATAGATCCAATTGATTTAGTCCTTCTGTACTTCCACTTTTCAAAAGATCAATCAGAAGGTCATTGGAAAACCGAAAGACACTAATTTTGGTGCTGTTCTCCTTTCATTAGTTTTAATATACGAGAATATCATGGACAATGTTGAACTAATAAAATTTCAAAGTAACAGTTAACTATATTTTAACCAAACTCTGGTTACAGGTAGCTAGAGATGGTAACAGTTTCTCCCAGTTTTCCCGGTAAAATTCCCACAATTATTGGGGGTGAACAGACAGTGTGGATATTCAGAAATATCTGAATTCAGCAAACTTAGGGAAAGTGCTTAGGGGAAAAAAAAACCAGAAGATCATTTGGAAGAATAAAAGGTCAAGAATATCAAGGGAATTAAGGAAGAAAAAGGTGAAGGAAGGTGGTCTAGCCACACCAGATCTTAAACTGTATTACAAAGTGATAATCATCAAAACAATCTGGTACTGGCTAAGAAATATAGTGTTGGATCAGTGGAATAGATTAGGTACACAATACACTGTAAGAAATTACCACAGTAATCTTTGATAAATACAAAGATACAAACTCTTGGGACAAAAACTCAAACTCACTACCTGACAAAAACTTCTGGGAAACCTGGAAAGCAGTTTGGCAGAAACTAGGTATAGATCAATACTTTGCACCATATATCAAGATATTGTCAAAATGGGTACATGATTTAGACATGAAGGGTGACACCATAAGCAAATTAGTAGAGTGTGGAATAATTTACCTATCAGATCTATGTATAAGGGAAGAATTTATTACCAAACAAGAGACAGAGAGCATTTCAGGACATAAAGTGGATAACTTTGATTACATTAAAATAAAAAGTTTTTGCACCAACAAAACCAATACAACCTAGATTGGAAGGAAAGCAGAAAACTGGGGGAAATGTTTTATAGCAAGTTTCTCTGATAAAGGCTTTATCTCTCAAATACATAGAGAACTAAGTCAAATTTATAAGAATATAAGTCATTCCCTAATTGATAAATGGTCACAGGATATGAACAGGAAGTTTTAAGAAGAAGAAATCAAAGCTTTCTATAGTTATAAATGAAAAAAATCCTCTAAATCACTATTGATTAGAGAAATGCAAATCAAAACAACTCTGAGGTATCACCTCACACCTATCATATTGGCTAATTATGACAGAAAAGGCAAATGACAAATGTTGGAGGGGATGTGGGAAAACTGTTGGTCAGCTTGTGAACTGATCCAGCCTTTCTGGAGAGCAATTTAGAACTATGCCCAAAGGAGTATAAAAAACTGCATACTCTTTGATCCAGCAATACCACTATTAGATCTGTAACCCAATGAGATTAAAAAAAAAAGGGGAAAAGGACGTGTATGCACAAAAATATTTATAGCAGCTCTTTTTACACTGGCAAAGAATTGGAAATTGAGCGGATGCCCATCAATGGGGGTAATGGCTGAACACGTTGTTGTATATGAATGCAATGGAATACTATCATGTTATAAGAAATGATAAACAGGATGCTTTCAGAAAAACCTAGAAAGACTTAAATGAACTGATGAAAAGTGAGGTGAGCAGAACCACAAGATTGTACAGTAACAAGAATACTGCACAGTGATCAACTGTGAATGACAGCTATTCTCAGCAATATAAAGATCCAAGACAATTCTGAAGGGTACATGATGAAAAATGCTATCCACTGCCAGAGAAAGAACTGATGGAGGGGCAGCTAGGTGGCGCAGTGGATAAGGCACCAGCCCTGAAGTCAGGAGGACCTGAGTTCAAATCCGGTCTCAGACCAAACACTTGACATGTACTAGCTGTGTAACCTTGGGCAAGTCACTTAACCCCAAATGCCTCACAAAAAAAAAAAGAAAGAAAGAAAGAAAGAACTGATGGAATCTGAATGCAGATTGCAGCATGTTTTTTTTTTAATTTCTTCATTTTTCTTGGGTTTTTTTGGTCTGAGTTTTCTTTGACTGCACATATATAACATTTATCAAACTGCTTGCCTTCTCAATGAGAGGAGAGGGGAGGGAAGTGGGAGAAAATGTGTAACTCCTTGTTTTTACATGTAATTGGAAAAATTGTTTTTACATGTAATTGGGAAAAATAAATTTTTTAAAAGAAAAAGAATAAAATAATCTTCATTTCCCCACTTTGATCTAGTCTTTCTCCTTTTTTAATTTTAATCTTCTGCCTGCTTTCGAACACTGATGTTTAGTTATGCCATTTACATCTTTTCTTCAACAGAGCTAAATGCCCTGGTACTATCCTGATTAATAGTATATACTTACAGACACAATTAAAAATGACATCAGGCAAAATATGTCTATGTGCTGTTTCTTACTTCTCTTGCTGTATAATTTCAAGGTATGGTTCTTCTTAGATGTGTGTGTGTGTTAGTATAATATAGTTTTTATTAATTTAGTATTTAATCTTACTTGTAATTAAATGCTAAAATACCAATTTATTAAAGCCTAAATAACTGAATGAATTTTAAACTCACCATTAATCTGCATAGTTAATAGAGCTGAAGAATCTTCCTGTTTGGCACCTTGTTCCACATTTAACAAACGTGATTTTAAACTGTTGTTTTCTTCCAGTGACTTGCTTAACTGTTGTTTCAAGGTATCCTAATGACATAAAAATACAGAAATAAGAAAAACCAAATTGACTATCATCACTTCTTAAACTGGGGGTCACAACCCTATCGTGACCTACAGTTCAAGAAGCACTGAAGAGGTTTCAAGTGTAAAGAGTTTAAGAAGCCCTAGACTAATTTACCCTTAGGCATTAGCAAAATGTAAGTATTATAATTTCTGAACCTAATGTGTTTTCAGTATTTCTGATAATACAAGTATTCATATAACTCTCTGTATAAGGCATTACCAAAATTAAATAATAGTCACTGGCTTCAAGGAACTCTATTAAGTAAGACATAAGACACATGTTCAAATACAATAAACATCTCAATGTCAAAAATTAATGAGCATAAAGCATTCTGTAAACAAGAGAAAATTTGAAAGACATGCTACTCATGCCTTTATTCAAGTCACTGTTAAAAACATCTAGATCAAGGTTCTTTCCAGGTTACCATCTACCATATGTGCTATTGTTGAATGTGACAATTTGAGTGCCTAGTGCTCCTGATGCTCTTTGCAGGCCAAGTTTGAATTATAAAAGAACTGGTCAGAAAGCTGAGCAGGTCTCAAAAATATTTTCTGGCATTCCAACTGCTGGCGAGGGCTTCCTTCAGTTAAGAACTGCAGAAGGAGAGTTGTGCTTTATATTTTTTTTTAATTCTTGCATTGTATGTTCATAAACTTCAATTTTGAGCCAGATTTAAGTGGATTTTATGGTCCATTACGGTCTACTGTGTTTTAAGCAAACACAAACAAAACCTCGAACCTCTGGTCTAAACTAAATTTAGGCTTAGCCCACACAATATTTGGCACTGTAAGGAGAGTCTTTTTGTTTTGTTCGTTGTTCTTTTTTTAAAAAAAAATATTTTATTATGGCCTTATGATTAAATTTTTTTTTATTTTAGGAAAGCAGGAAAAGGGGTACATTTTTAAAAGAGATGGGTTTGGTGGATTAGATTTATGATCCTTCCTGTTTCCTCTGCCCCTCCCCACTCCTTATAGCCAGTCTGCTTCTAGTACAATTAGTTCATACCTTCTGAATACACATTCCCCCTCCCCACACCTCCCTTCCCCTGAATGGCTTTAGGCACCATCTACAAGTCTTTACTCAGATCAACAGAAAAATCTGGGCCAATTAGTGAAGTCTGAGTGACAGCAGATTGGGGCAGATCCAGTAGCTGTTCAGATTAGCAGAACTGTTCATTCACACAAATTCTGGAATTAATGGCAGGAAGTATGAGGCCTACCACCATGCTAGGTGGTCAGAAAGTGATGACACACTTGCTCATGTTTAATAAATGCAAAGATATTGATAAAATTATACTGGAATGTCTAGAAGCAAGATAGCAAGGATCCTTCTACCCTTCCAAAACTTCAGATTTTCCTGAAAGCCTCTACTCTACCTGGCTGTTTGAAGCCACAAATGTCTTTGTATCCAGATTTAAAGGACTGTCAGAATGAATTTTCCTATTGGTGACTCTAGTTCACTAAAGCTTGGTTTGTTTTAACTGCAGGACCCCTGGGGGACCAGTAAGCCATATGCCCAAGTTACTGTGGTAAGAAAAGGGAAAGCAACAAATATATAAGAGGTGGCTGGATATTGGTCATGTTACAATTCTACTAGGGGCCCCTCAACAGCTTCATGGAGGTATTCTAATATCTACTGTAGGCTTAGGGAGACAAAGCACTGAGAAAGGAATACCCCAGGTGGAGGGCTCCCCATTTGGGCCTCAGTTGTGGTGGCTGATTCAGAGAGTGTATTTAGGGCATGGATATTATGAGTTCTTGGGAGTCAATACTTGTCTAGAGGTCAGTTGTTCTGATCCTGGTACATCTGCTTAGATTCAAAATTTTGCTTGTATCCTAAATCTCTCTATTCTGATCATGCCTAAGCACTTGGTACAGCCCTGCTTTCTGTTAAAATTATGACAGTTATTGCTGGAAGGGCTAAATGGAAATCCTTGGGGCTGTCTAAACTATCTCCTATGGTTAAAATTAAATAATTTCAGGTATATGTGAGTAGTGGTGGTAGTGGGTCCCAACTAGTACCTCCCTAGTAACAAAGATGAAGGAGACTGGAGTAGTCTGTTATGCAAAATTGTCTGTTTAATTACCCTATGTGGCCAGTGAAGGTAGATGTCCCTAGTGATTAACAGCAGGTTACTAAGAATTGAATAAAGGAGTTATTCCAATTGCTGCATCTGTTCCTCATCATGTCCAGCTGGAGTGGGGCGGGATTATTGATCTCACCTATCCACTTTTTCTCCATCCCTGTGGCTGAGACCAGTAAAGGACTGTTTGTTTTTACCTGGGAAAGAGTTCAATATACTTTCACCATTTTCCCCTATATCTGAACCTTCTTTCACATTGTCACAGTTTAGTGGGCAGAGACCTGAGAGTCCTCATTTCATGAGCACATTAACATACACCACACCTTTATACTGAGGGTACATCGGCTAACTGCTTGCTGGATGATGCCATGGTAACAGAAGTCTTAAAATGGCTAATGGCTCACATGACAGACAAGGGATGGAAAATCAGACGAAATAAAATTCAGGGTCCTTCCCAATCAGTTAAGTCTTTAGTGATACATCAGATGGGGAGAACCCAGATAATTCCAGATATAATCCACAACAAGCTATTGATGCTTGCTTTGCTACAGACTAACAACATTCAAAAGCTTATCAGACTCCTTGTGTTCTAGAAAATACAAGTCAATTATCTGGCTATTTTAATGGCTCTTATTTACTAAATTATTCCCCAGTCTGACTTTTGTGAGGGAATTAGAACAGGTTATAGACTTGCAAGATTTACAGAAAACCTTTCAGCAATATCTCCCTTTAAGTACATATGCTCCTAAGGCTTCCTGGAGGTTTCTGGTACCTGAAGGACCAGGTACCAAGGACTGGCCAGATCAAATCACTAGGCTTTTGGAGCTGTAAATTTTCAGAAGTAGCCATTCATTTCATTATGTTCAAGAAACAATTGCTTTCATGTTATTAGACCCTGGTTGCTATTGAAAGGATCACACTGGGACACATGATTATCCTTCATCCAGAACTACCCATCATGAGTTTAATTAATGGTCTTTCTAATAAGATGGGTAGAACACAAAAGGTTTCACATTGTGAAATGGAAACAGTACATCAAAAATCATGCCTGACGGGGCTCTTAAGGTATTAGTGCAGCTAGCTAGGTAGTGCAGCAGATAAGGCACTGGGCCCAGAGTCAGGAAACCTGAGTTCAAATTCAGTCTCAGAAACTTACTAGGTGTGTGACCTTTGGCAAGTCATTTAACCTCTGTTTGCCTCAGTTTCCTCAACCACAAAATGGGCATAAAAATAGCAACTATCTCCTGGGGTTGTTGCGAGGATCAAATGAAATAATATTTGTTAAGTGCTTAGCAAAGGCCTGGACATAGTAGTTGCTATATGAATGCTAACTATTATTAGTAGTAGTACTACCCTTCACGAACAAGTTGTGACATAGCTAGAGGCTGAGATCTCTTAATCACCATCCTTGGGATTCAATCTTGTTTGTCAATGTCTTTCTTAAACAAAAAGTCTCTCTCTTAATAGGTGAGGAGAATATATCCAGAAATGATTGTTGTAAAAGCAAAAGACATTTAAAAAACTTTAAAAAGTAAAATACAAGAAAATAGAGAAAAGTATAAGGCCTAGAAAGTGCAACAGAGGTAGTCCTTGATTTATGAACATTTGACTTGAAAAGAGATGTCAAGGAGTCAGTATAGAGCCCAGCCCTGCTTCCATTTTGGCAACAGCTTTTTCTCTAATTCAGAGTACCTTAACAGTGACTTACCTAGAAAGTTAACTTCTTTAGTAAAGTTGTGAAGAAGTGCTATGCAGTTGTACAGCTTCAGGAAAACGGTCTTCTTTTGCAGATATGCAAAGTTAAGTTATTAGTGCCTAGCAGTATTTATTATAATTTCTCTGCCACTCACAAAGGAATTCCTCTCCACAGGTCTTCCAGGAAGCCACTGAGATGGAAGGAATCCAATATTTGGAATCCTTTGGAAGATGGGATATATTTTCCCACAGAAATAATGGTGCAAATAGTGGTTAGTTATGGTTGAAACAGCACCATTATATAAATATACTTCAGGTAGAACATGAGCTAATAACAAGCTTTTCTGTATTGACCTAGGAAACTCACTACAATTTATAATATTGTATCTTTGGAGAAATGTGTTCCCGGTTATACAAACTAACTTAAGCAAACTTTTCAAATGTAACCCTTTCATAAGTTAAAGGCTGTTTGCACTTCAATGTAGTCAGACTTGGAAAGAGAACAATAGAATTATTACTTCCTGTGATATTATTCTTCTATTAATTATTCTTCTATTAACGTATCCAATTCCCCACCCAACACATCTAAGAGTTAACATGCACGGCTCACCATCTCCTTAAGTGTGTTGTTTAATTCCAACATCAGTCCACTAATCCTTATATTGTACTGCTGTTCCTGTTCAGCAAGATTTTGTAAGGCTTTGTTTTCTAAAATCAAATGATTAATTTTTTCACTCATGATTGATGAATTTTCCTGATTAGATGCAGATGTTTGCACAGAAGACAAAACATGTCTCGCCTGACCTGAGATTAAAAAGCAAGCTTTAATAATATTTAAGGATAAAAGATAATATCACAAATGCATTTTAAATATTTCAAGGCACTTCATAATTCTACTACAAATGAAATATGGCATAAAGAATTCGAAATTTTATAGAGCATCAGTTATAACAGTGTGTGATAACATTGATATGGTTATTCTATCAATGCAGGATGCAATGCATCCACATCTGCTCATTCTGTGAAATTCTTGTTTTATGTTTCTCTCAAATTTTCCAAAGAGGATCTCCTCAAAACATTAAAGGATTTAAAAAAAAAATTATGGGCACCAATATAGTACTCTGGATATCCACCTGTTATCATCTCTCACTCTCATTTCATGACAAACTCATCTCCTATTCTACTTATATGTCTTTAATGATGTCTTTCATGCTATTTCTCTGAAAAATAACAGCTGGCAATATATTTCAATCTACTTACAACTACTATGGACCTCGATTACCCTGTGTGTCAATAAAGATCTTTATTCTTTTGAGATTGTGGCCTTTCATGATTGACAGCTATATTGCATCACTAATATTTTTTAATTGTTTGGAGGCAATCAGGGTTAAGTGAATTGCCCAAGGTCAAACAGTTGTTAGTAAGTGTCTGAGGCCACATTCAAACTCAGATCCTCCTGACTCCAGGGCCAGTGCTCTATTCACTGCACCATTTAACTGACCCTGCATTACTAGTATTTAAAAGAAGAGGTTTTATGTTAGGAAGAAGTTTGGGATGACTGAAAGTACTGTATAATTTTCAATCTGTTCTCTTCCTCTTACTTAACTGTGACCTGGCTCACTGTACAACTGCTGAGCTATTTTAATATACATATGTTCTGGTAAACTATCAAATTTATGCCATATTCTGGGCAATATGAAATTCTTATTCACTTCACTTTTCATTTGTGTATTAACTGATATCTACTCAGTATACTAACAAAGCCTTCAAAGAGGGGGGCTCAGGATAATCTGGGACTTGATATAATCAGCACAATGTCTTTTGCACATAGTAGCATCTAGAGTTGCTCACAAACTCCAATCCATCCTCCAAACAGCTGCCAGTGATATTCCTAAGTACAGGTCTGATCATCTTATTCCCCTTCTTAATAAACTCCAGTTTATTAAGATATCTATAAGATCAAATGTAATCTGAGCTCAAATACTGAATCCTACTACCTCTGACTTTTTCCTAGTATTAATGCTACAGATAGCATTTCTAGAACTACATAAAATAATAGTGCTGACAATAGACATTCTTGTATTACTTGGATCTTATTACACAGACCTCTAATTTTTCTCTATTATATAGAGCTCTGGGTTTTGACAAATACATCTTACCATATTATTTCTATACTTTCTAAGCTACGAACATTTCTAGCATTTTTTTTAACAGAAACAGGTATTATTTTGTCAAAAGCTTTTTCAGCATCTATCAAAATAAATGGATGGTTTTATCATTTCATTATTAACATGGACTATAAATACTTGAAAGAAAAGTTAACTGAATTGTATGGAAACATAGAAAGTAAATTTATAATAGTGGGGTACCTCAATGTACCCCTTTCAGACCTAAAAAGATCAATTTTGTAGCCCTCATGGCAAAGGCTTTATCTTACACAAGGTTTTGCTTAGACTGGTTATGGTGAGGGGCAGCTACGTGGTACAGTAGATAAAGCACTGGCCCTGGAGTCAGGAGGACCTGAGTTCAAGTCCAGCCTCAGACACTTACTGTGTGACCCTGGGCAAATCCCTTAACCCCAATAGCCTCACCAAAAAATAAAATAGACTGGTTATATGTTATTCTCTTCTTCTGGGTTTATCATTTGGCTTTGCCTTAGTTCACACTACTTTTATATGGTCAATTTTTGTAAAGAGTTCATATAGATGTAAAGTCATTTCTGTTCCCATTCAGTAATCACCAGAGGTCTACCATCTCCAACTTTTCTAAAGTTCTATTCAGGTCATTAACTTTTTTTTTTCTTTTGGTTGTTGCTGTAGCAGTTGTTAGATTTTCCTGGTCTAAAAGGAATATTTGGTGCATAAATATTTAGTATTTGTATTAATTTGTTATTTATGGTGCCTTTAACCATAATATAGTATCCCTGATTATCTCATATTATCATGCCTCTTATTACTGTTACTCTCTTCTGAAATCAAGATTGTTAGCCCTGCTTCGAGTTGACCTGAAGCACAACAGATTTAGTTCCAAATCATACATCAATCTTTATGTTTCAAGAGTATTTCTTACAAATAACATATTGTTGGATTCTGCTTACTAATCTATGCTGCTATTCTTTTCCATTTAATGGGTCATGAAATAATCAGACTGATTTTTTTTAATTGATCTTATTTGCAATCAGTTGATTTTGTCCTGTTATTGCCTACGTCATAGTTCTTTGTCTCTGAACTTAGTCCAGAAATTCAGCTGGCCTGTAATGAGTTAAGTTTAGAAATCCAGTTCTGCTCATGAGTTTTATTCTTGTCTCAAGGAAATCTGATATCCTTGAAGAATACTGGTGGATACCAGGGAGTATGCATAGTATCTTTACACCACCAAGTTATCCTTCAAGGACATATGATTTGTTATCCAAAAAAGTCTGGTCAACTATCTCTAACCTTGTAGATAAATTCAAACAATGAACTTTTCTTAGTCACAGGAGGGAAGTAGGGGGTTGTTGTTAGCCCCTCATTCTCAATTTCCAACCAATCATATTGTCCCCCATGTCTCAGCTCTGCAATCAATCATACTGATTTCACCATTCATGATATTAAACTCTTAACTAATATAACTTGTTCTCTGTCTATGAAGTCCTGTTCTTTGTTCTATACTTCCCAAAACTATAAAAGAGAACTGTCATGCTCATTCAGGGTTTTAACTTTGCTGAGGAAGCTGAGATCCTATTTATTAGTAAATTCATGCTTTATTAATAACTTAATCTTACTCAGAACTTTGTACCTCAGTCTTCCTTATTTTAGCTACTAGTTAATTTATCTCATACAAAGAGGTGGTACGAGTGTGTTTAACAATAATGATCTATAATCAAATAGATGTTTGCATTCTATTGTCCCTCTTCTCCTCTTATCTCACTCATAATCAAAGGTTTTTTACTTTCTTTTAAAAACTTCCTAAATGGTCTAACTTACAACACTGGTGTTTGACTACCTCCCCATCTATCTTGCCATTCACTTAAACTTCTCTTCTTTGTCCATTTATTTCCCTGTTGATTTTAATATATTTCTGTATCAAGTTCTGTGTATGTATTTTTTCCAACTTTCCTTTCCTGTTTAGATAAAAGTAAGGTTAATAAGATGCTGGTTCTCTTGACCCCTTTTTCCATGTGTGTATACTATTCATCTCATGCACCCCTATTATGTGAGATTGTAAGTTCCCTCCTATTTCTCCCCATTTCTTTTTCCTTCTCTAACCACCGAAACAAAACAAAACCACTCTCAGGCATTTTGTCTGTTTTACTTAACTTTCCTACATAATTTGAAGAGTTCTGGGGACATTTGCTTCTTTCCCCATTCTTAGAATGTAAATAATTTATCACTGCATAGACCCTTTAAATTGATAAAAAGTATTTATCTTTCTACATTTCTCATGACTTCTAGGTTCACAATTCAAAGTTTCTACTTTGATCTTTTCATCAGGAATTTTTGGAAATCCTCCGTTTTATTAAAAGTGTACTTTTTTTCTACTATGGGATTATATTCAGATGTGTCAAATAGGTTATTCTTGGTTGTAAGCCTTTTTCTTTTGCCTTTTGGAACTATGTTACAAGCTCTCCTCTCCTTAATAGTCTTTTATGATCCTGACTTTAATTTCTTTGTACTTTAATTCCCCACCCACCCCACCCCTCCACCCCCTACTCTGGCTGCTAGCAGTATTTTTTCTTTGACTTGTAAACTTGGATTTTAGTTATGACATTTTTGGGAATTTTCATCTTCAGTTTTCTTTTGGGAGTTAACCAGTGAAATATTGCCTTTTGGTTCTAAAAGACCTGGGTACTTATTGTTTATCATTTCTTGAAATAAAGTATTCAGGCTTTTTGTTTTTGTGATTTTTCTGGCAGTCTAATGATTCTTACATGATCTCTCCTTGACCTGTTCTATGGTTCAATTGTGTGTGTGTATGTGTGTGTATGTGTGTGTGTGTGTATGTACATATGTATCTGTATGTGTATATATGTATTTATATACAGGTATTACATATTTATATATGTTTTCATCTATACGTGCACATATATACACGTATATATGTATTTATATATACGTGTGTGTGTGTATACACATATATTATATATATATGTATGTACATACAATTTCCCCCCAATTACATTTTTGAATTTCAAATTCTATCTCTTCCTCCCTCCTCTCCCTTCCCTGAGATGGTAAGCAATCAGATACAGGTTATACATGTGCAATCATGTAAAATATTTCCATATTAGTCATTTTGTACAAGACTCAAATAAAAGAAAAAGAATGAAAGTGAAAATAGCATAATTCAGGCTGTATTCAAACAATATTCTTTCTCTGGAGGTAATGCTTCATCATTAGTTCTTTGGGATTGTCTTAGATCACTATTGCTGAGAATTGCTAAGTCATTCACAGTTTTTCATCAAACAATATTGCTATTACTGTGTACAACATTCTGTTCACTTCCCTTTGCATTAGTTCATGTAAATCTTTTTGGGTTTTTCTGAAATCATCCTGCTTGTCATTTCTTACAGCACAATAGCAGTCCATGACAATCATATATACCACAGCTTCTTTAGCCATTCTTCAATTGTTGGGCATCCCTTCAATTTCTAATTCTTAGCCACCACAAAAAGAGCTCTAAATATTTTTGTACAAATAGGTCCTTCCCCCAACCACTTTTTCATGTCTTTAGGATATAGACCTAGTAGTAATAGATCCAATATTGTTGGATCAAAGGGTATACAGAGTTTCATAGCCCTTTGGGCATAGTTCCAAATTGCTCTCTGGAATGGTTGGATCAGTTCACAAGTCCACCAACAGTGCATTAGTATCTTAATTTTCCCACATCCCCTGCAACAACCATCATTTTCCTTTTCTGTCACATTAATCAATCTGACAGATATCAGGTGGTATCTCAGAGTTGTTTCAATTTGCATTTCTCTAATCAATAGTGATTTAGAGCATTTTTTTCATGTGACTATGGATAGCTTTGATTTCTTTGTCTGAAAATCGCCTGTTCACATCCTTTGACCATTTATCAATTGGGGAATGACTTGTAAATTTGACTCAATTCTCTACATATTTGAGAAATGAGGCCTTTATCAGATACTTATTGCAAAATTTTCCCCAGTTTTTTGCTTTTCTTATAATTTCAGTTGCATTGGTTTTGTTTGGGCAAAAACTTTAATTTTTTACAATCAAAACTATCTATTTTACATTTTGTAATTCTCTTTATATTTTCTTTGGTCTTAAATTCTTCCCTTATCCATAGATCTGACAGATAAACTATTCCGTGCTCTTCTAATCTGATTATGGTATCACCCTTTATGTGTAAATCATGTACCCATTTTGACCTTATCTTAGTATATGGGTGTGAGATGTTGGTCTATACCTAGTTTCTGCCATACTGTCAAACTCTGCAGTTTTTCCAGCAGTTTTTGTCAAATAATGAGTTTTTATTCCAAAGCTTGGATCTTTGGGTTTATCATATGCTAGATCACTGTGGTTATTTACTATAATGTAATTTGTACCTAATCTATTCCATTGATCCACCATTAAATTTCTCAGCCAGTACTAAATTGTTTTTATAATTACCACTTTATAATACAGTTTGAGATCTGGTATGGCTAGACCACCTACTTTCCCATTTTTTTTCATTGATTCCCTTGATATCCTTGATCTTTTGTTCTTCCAGAAAAATTTTGTTATTTTTTTCTAGCTCTATGAAATATTTTTTGATAATCTGATTGTTATGGCACTGAATAGATTAATTTAGGTAGAACTGTCATTTTCATTATATTGGCTCAGCCTACCCATGAGCAATTAATATTTTTCCATTTGTTTAGATCTGACTTTGTGTGAAAAGTGTTTTGCAGCTGTGTTCATAAAGTTCCTGAGTTTGTCTTGGCAGGTAGACTCCCAACTATTTTATACTGTCTATAGCTATTTTAAATGGAATTTGTCTTTCTATCTCTTGCTGCTGGACTCTGTTGGTAATATATAGAAATGCTAATAATTTTTGTGGGTTTATAGTTCAACTGTTTTTGATACTACATACATTTTCTTCTATTTTCTCCACCTTTTAATTTTAATATTTCTTATAGTAGCACAAAGACAATGGTTTCATTTTAATTCATATTAATTTTAAGATATTCTACTTCAGAGTTTTACCATCCTCTATTCTAAGCTTGTAGAGGCAGGCAAGTGGTACAATGGAATACATGCTAGGCTGGTAGTTACAACTCACCTCAAATCTGGCCTCAGACACTAGCTGTGTGACCCAGTCATTTAACCTTTGTCTGCCTCAGTTTCCTCACCTATAAAATAGGGATAATAGTACCTACCTTCCAGGGTTTTTGTAAAGACAAAATGAGATATTTGTAAAGTACTTTGTAAACCTTAAAGTACTATATAAATGTTAACTTATTATTTTTATCTTTACTATTAATTTTCCTTTCCCGTATTTCTTCACTGGCATTTCCTTTTACTTTACATTCTGTATAATGATGAATTTTCCAAGTGTTTTTAGTCTTTTTGTCAAAGACTTTATTTTCAACAAAGCTTTACTTAGACTTGTTATGGAGCTACTCTCTTTTTCTGGATTTTTCTCTTGGACTTCTCTCAGTTCATACTATTTCTTCATTATGTTTGACATTTTCTTCTGTTTACTTAAATCTCTTGCTTCAATTTTTGGACTGGGGTTTTGTACTTGGGTCGTACTCTACTGCCTTCCATACTCTTGGATGATGAGGGCAGGTCTTGCTTGGTCCTGGAAGTGGTAGCTGTCCCCAGTGCCTGGAATACTCTCCCTCCTAAACTCTTTCAGCTCTCCTGCCTTCCTTCAAGTCCTAGCTAAAATAGCCACCTTTCACAAGAAGCTCTTCTCAACCCACTCCTTAATGCTAGCGCCTTCCCTCTTTTGATTATCTCCAATTTATCCTCTACATATCTTGTCTGTATGTACTTGTTGGTATGCGCCTCCCTCCCCCAGTAGACTATGGACTCCTTGTGAGCTGGAACTATCTTTTACCTTTCTTTGTATCCCCAGCACATGGCACCACATCTGGCATACAGTAGGTACTTAACAAATGCTTGCTGACTAACTCAAACTTGTTGCAGTTAAGTAATTCGTATTTTTATATAGATATATATTATGTAGATATGACATTATATATTTATATGTTTACATTCTCCATTTAGAATGCAATTCCTTGTAAGAAGGGATTGTTTTACTTATCATATTTGCATCCTCAGTACCTAGCATAGTGCCTAAGACATATCAGGCACTTAATAAATATTTGTTGATTGATTAATCTTTTCACTTACTGGCAAATTCCTTTTGCCTTCTGGTTCATCTACAAGACTGTAAGAATTGATATGGCTCAGTTCTTCCAGTAATATATCAGCTCAATAGTTTCTGGACAATGATCTCATATTTAGAGTACCAATAGTTATTTTTTATATATGGGAATAAAACCTACGTGAATCTCAGCACCCTCTGTGCCCTTTTCTACCTTTCTACCACCATTTCAACAGAAACATGAGCACTGCACAGTATTGAGTTACTTTGTACTCTTGTTTCATGAGTTGCTAGCCCTAAAGAATTCATCATTCTGTAGTTAATCCACTGGTGATGGGCCTCTCTTAACTTAGTTAATCTTAGTTCACAGATACATTATGTTACTGGGTCCATATTTAAAAAATCTGCAACTTGGCAGAATCTGTCAAAGTTATGCTCTATTGATAAAGTCTTGGAAAATCCAGGGCACTTCTATACCAGAATGAGTCATGGAATAGAAATTTTATGGATGTAAGAACAGTAGTCATAATTTCAAATAAATAAGTAAATAAATAAATAGAGCAAGCAAGGAAGTAAGCACAGGTCCTAGATGAAGCAGCATAGATCTGTACCAAACCAACCTTAGCAAAGGTATATGTGACTCCTCAACCACCACTTGGCCACCACCTGTATTCTCTCTCCTGTTCAAATGCCTCATAACATAAAAATTTACATAATTCCTTCATTTACACAGAGTACAATTTTGTGAACCTGAATAGTAATTTTTCAAATGGTACCCTAAAGAACAAGTAGAATGAATGTACTTCTAAGAACCCAGTTCAACAATAAAATGACTCTAAGGTCTGGCCCAATGCTGGGCTTATCATATCCTGGAATTATTAAGTACTAATATTTGCTTGTTTTGTTTTTACTTACAAATAAACTTCTCATTGGATTGTAGAGATTTGCAACCATTCCAATATTTATCCACTAAATCCAAAAGAGTGTCCAAGAGTGCTATTTCAAACATATCCTTACTCATTGTCTGAGTTGTTGAATGAGATTCTGACACCTGAATTGGAAGGTATGATTATGAAGTTTTTTATTTCATGTAACACTAAATGTACTATTGCTTAACTCTAGCATTTATTAATAAGCTTATTTCTAGGGGAAAAAAAGCATTACACCTAATAGCTGGTGCCACCAAAGTCTCTATTATTATGTCACTCTAGTTTTGGGGTAGTCTTTTGGCTTAAGATGATTTCCATATTCCAGAGAAGGATTTATGCCCCCATCTTATTTTACACAGTGATCGGAAATTCTCTACTTCTTCATATGAAGATTATTTGAAGAAGCAAAAGTGGTAAGCCCTAGACAAGGAACTGAGAGTTGGGACAAGGAAATAACCAGTACCAGGTGTCAAGAATGATTTATCTTCAGAGAAATGAGCTTCCTTAAGTACTTCTAAATATCTGGTGTTTTCTACACAATCACTTCTATCTGTTGGTACTATAAATGACTTTGAGTTGGAGCAAGAGGAGTGGAAGTGGAGTCAAGTAAGGCAAAAACAGTGGCTGTAGACCTACAAGACCTAATTTAAATTCTCAAGAGAAAGTCAAGTTTTTGGTGACTGGAAGATAAGGGTGGGAGAAAAGAAACGCACAGGAACTGGGTTAGGGAACTTCAAAACTTTCTTTGAGGGATTGTGTTTGAGGGCTGGGAGGAGGGCAGTCTGTTTCTTTAATCACTTCTCATGACAACTGCCTAAAACCCTGCTGTCATAACACTGAAAAATATGCCTTGAAGTGTCATAAAAACATAGTATCAATAAATTTAGAGCTGGAAGGGACCTGAGAAGTCATCTATTTCAACCCCCTCATTTGGTAAATGAAGACTGAAACCCAAAGAAATTAAGTCATTTGCTCAGTCACCAAGGTAATCAAGAGCAGAGCCAGGATTCAAAGTCAGGTCTTTTGACTCCAGATCCAAGAATAGTAACTAGTATGGTGAAAAGGATTTGAAATCATATCAAATGAGGCAACCAGGGATTTTTAGTTTAGGAAAAAGAAGACAGTATGAGACCTCAGGGGTAGCTAATAATCACGTGACTGTTCTGTGGCTTATTCTGCCTGCTTCTGCTCTATCCAACTAAAGGATAGAAAATTATGGAAAAAAAGAACTCAGCTTAACATAAGGAAAAATGTCCTAAAAATGAGAACTGTCCAAACACAGAATGATGATAATGATAGTAATAATTCATGTTTACATAGCACTTTGAAGTTTTAAAAATTATCTTCCTCACTCCAGCCATATGAGAGATGCAGTAAAAGTATTATTATCCCACTTTAATATCCAAGTTACCACAATTAGTAAGTGGCAAAGCCAGGATTTCAGTGTATTGACTCCAAAAACAGACCAATACTGCAGCTACTTGTGAGACTGCCTAAGGGAGCAGTGAGTTTCCCATCACTTTTTTGTTGTTATTCAGTCATTTTTCAATTGTGTCCAACTCTTCCTGATTCCTTTTTTTTTTTGCGGGGAGGGGGCGGCTTCTTGGCAAAGATGCTACAGTGGTTTGACATTTCCTTCTCTAGCTCACTTTACAGATGAAGAACTGAGGCAAACAGGGTTAAGTAACTTGCCCAGAGTTACACAGCTAGTAACTGTCTGAGGCCAGACTGGAACTCAGGAAGAGGAATCTTTCTGACTCCAGGCCTGGCACTCTATCCACTGCACCACTTAGCTACTCATTCTCATCATTAAAGGTCCTGAAGTAAAGGCTGGATGACCGCTTATTAAGAAGGCTGCATAGGTGATTCATGATTTGAGGAGGGGTTTGACTAGACAACTGACTTCTCTTTGAATTCTAAGGCGAACCTGACAGCCAAGAGGCTCTACTGACCTGAGGTGCGACAAGTACTAGAAATCAACTAGAAGAGGTGACTAAAACCCTAGGTTAAAGCTAAAGGAAAATGTCCTAAACAGAATCTTTCCTTTAGAAACTCTCACCAGAGGAGAACTTAAATGGCTGAGGGAATCATCTTATCATAGGATTATAACTTTGGAACTAACAGGTCATCTTTCCCCTCATTTTACAGAAACTAAGGCCCAAAATTTACATAATAAAGAGCTGAGTGAGGATTTGAGGACAGTTGACTTCAAATCCAAAGCTCTTTCTACTGTACCATGCCACCCAGAGTAAGATTGCAAATGCCCTGTTTTCCTCCCTTGGTTTGAGACAACTATGTTCAAGGCTACAAATGAGTCATGGAAAAAGAAAAAAAAAGAAAAAATTCCAAGGGAGTACTACTGGTCAATATGAGCTGAGGCATTTGTCCCGCAATGCAACCAGCCTTTCCAGGACTCTGACAGTGATAGAGATGATTCTGCCACCATGTGGCAGGAATGACTGAATTACAACTTTGAACAAAATGGATATGTAAAGGCAAATACGAAAATCACCTATATAATCTCTATTGCTGTACTTCTATTTTAACAATTTCAAATTGTAGAAGAGCTTTTAAAACAGAGAAATGTTGCTAAAGAAATATATAAAAGTATAGTAACAAAAAACTAATTTAAAAAAAGTTTGGCAAGCTATATTATGGAACTAAACTTAATATATGTAAGTTAATATTAAAAGCTTAATGACAGAGGAAAAAAAATATCCTGTGGTCCACAAAGAGAAAAAAAATGAGCATTAACACCCAATGATTAAAAAATAAGAAACATTAGAGTTCTATCAAATAAAAACAATTCTGCCAAAATCATCATATCTTTTGGCTTACCTCTTTGACAGATGCATTTATATTTTTAGTCCTTGGCTGTTCAGATCTATCAGGTTCAGATATATCAAAGTTAGAAAAGCTTCTGTCATTTTTTCTTTCCAATTCCATTTTTCTTTCCATTTCTTGGTTGAAAATACTTTCATCAGCACTGGGTAATCTATTATTTCTTTCCAAAAGGTCCTGACAACTCTCTTCCTGAATTGATTGTAATCTTCTATTAAGCACTTTTCTTTTATATATTATTCCAGAGGTAGCTAAAGATATTAGCATTTTTTGAGCTGATGTAACTTTCTTCTGTTCAGGATTATTGAATGGTCCCTCTATTCCTGTAGACTCTATAAAGTGAGGAGCAAATGATCATATCCCCTAACCCATTAATTCTAGTACTATCAAACTAACATCATCATTCAAAAACAACAACAAAAGGAAATTAAGTTAGCAAAAATGACTTTCACATTTGAAGCTTACTTAATGGACTAATTATTCCGTTTCCTTAAGAAAGCTATATGTTCACAGATCTTTAATATCTGTAAAAACTGAGGAATTTGAATTATGCAATAATTCATAATTTGCTTCATTATAAAAATACATTTAATAAACTGAATGCTTTAAATGTAATAATCTTGGTGTCTTTCTCAACTCCTCATTCTCACTCATCCCACAGAGCCAATTCACTGTCAAGCCTTGTCTTTTCTATTTTCCTAACATCACTTATATAGTTCCCCTTCTCTTCATTCACACAATTATTAGTCTGGTTCAGGTCCCCATCACTTCTTGTCTCTTATCAAGACCACTGCAATAGCCTTCTAACTGGTCTCCCTGCCTCAAAGTTTGTCCTCATTATAATTCCACTCAGCAGCCAAGCTTATTTTCCTATAGCATAGATCTGACAATGTAACCACCCTGTTCAAATTAAGGTGCTCCAGTGGCTCCCAATTATCTCTTTAGGATCAAATATAAAGTCCTCTGTCTAGCATTTAAATTTCTTTGCAAGTTGAACTCTTCCTAGTTTTTGAAGCCTCTCATATCTAAACTCCCCTCCACAAACTGTATGATCCATTTACTTGTGGTTCTTAAAAACAATATTCAGGAGGCAGAGCCAAGATGGCAGAGTGAAAGCAGTGACTTCCTTGAGCTCTCCCCTAAACCCCTCCAAATATCTGTAAAAAAATGACTCTAAACAAATTCTGAAGAACCAGAACCCACAAAAAGAGAGAGTGAAACAAATTTCCAGCCCACGACAACCTGGATGGTTGACTAGAAAGGTATATCATGCAGGACTGGGAAAGGAGCGCAGTTTGGCATGGGAGCACAGGCTGCAGCGAACTTGGAGCAGGGCTCAGAGGACTGAATCACCCACAGCTGGGGCGGTTTCCAGACTTCTCAAACCATGAACACCAAAGACAACTTAGAAGGTCAGTGGGAAAAGTCTGTTTCTACAGTGAGAGACAGAAGCTGGGCCCAGCCCCAGTTCCCGAGCGCGGCCCTGGGGCAGGGGCAGCGGCTGCTTCCTGAGCTTCTGGCCCACAGACTGAGGGGGAATGGAAAGAGATCCCTGCAATCCAGAAGGGGATTGCAGGGATCTCTTTGCCAGTGCTGGGGCAGGAATCTCTTGCTTTGCCCGTGCTTGGATCTGGGTCATAGTTCTGGGTGGCGGTCCTGGTGCAAAGAGGAGTACTGGTGTGGTGGAGCATGTTGTGGTGGTGGAGAGGAAAGCCTCCTCACAGTTCCAAGGCAGAAAAGAGTGCTTAAGGTCACTCATAGATCAGAGCACAGGCCAGGAAAGGAGTAAACAACTTACCCTTGATCATAACACCATTTTTACCAAATTTACAGGTCCCTAGAAGTATCTCTGAAAATAGCTGTACAAAACCCCGAAGCTTGGGACAGTACATTCTCCACATTGGAAGCAGACCTCTACCTTAACAAAGAGTTTATAACTCAAGTAATTGGCTGATATCATGACCAAATCTCACAAAAAGAATCAGACCATAGAATCTTTTTTTTGGTAACAAAGATCAAAACATACAACCAGACGAAGACAATAAAGTCAAAACTCCTACATCCAAAGCCTCCACGAAAAATATGAATCCATCTCAGGCCTTAGAAGAGCTCAAAAAAGATTTTGAGAAGCAAGTAAGAAAAGTAGAGGAAAAACTGGGAGGAGAAATGAGAGTGATGCAAGAAAATCATGAAAAAGAAGTCAACCCAAAAAAAGACTGAAGAAAATAACACTTTAAAAAAGAGCCTAACCCAAATGGCAAAAGAGGTCCAAAAAGCCAATGAGGAGAAGAATGTTCTAAAAAGCAAAAATGGAAAAGGAAGTCCAAAAGCTTACTGAAGAAAATATTTCCTTAAAAATGAGAATAGACCAATTGGAAGCTAGTGACTTTATGAGAAATCAAGACACTGTAAAACAAATCCAAAAGAATGAAAAATTAGAAAACAATGTGAAATATCTCATTGGGAAAACAACTGACCTGGAAAATAGATTCAGGAGAGAGAATTTAAAAATTATTGGACTATCTGAAAGCCATGATCAAAAAAAAGAGCCTAGACATCATCTTTCAAAAAATTATCAAGGAAAACTGCCCTGATTTTTTAGAACCAGAGGGTAAAATAGAAATTGAAAGAATCCACCAATCTCCTCCTGAAAGAGATCCCCAAAGGAAAACTCCTAGGAATATTGTAGCCAAATTCCAGAGTTTCCAGTTCAAGGAGAAAATATTGCAAGCAGCCAGAAAGAAACAATTCAAGTATTATAGAAACACAATCAGGATAACACAAGATTTAGCAACTTCTACATTAAGGGACCACAGGGCGTGCAATATAATATTCTGGAGGGCAAAGGAGATAGGATTACAACCAAGAATCACCTACTCAGCAAAACTGAGTGTAATTCTTCAGGGGAAAAAATGGTCATTCAGTGAAATAGAGGACTTTCAGGCATTCTTGATGAAAAGACCAGAGCTGAATACAAAATTTGACTTTCAAATACAAGACTCAAGTGGAACATGAAGAGATAAACAGGAAAGAGAAATCGTAAGAGACATATTAAGGTTGAACTGTTTGCATTCCTGCATGGAAAGATGATATTTGTAACTCATGAGACCTTTGTCAGTATTAGGGTAGTTGGAGGAAAAAAAATCTACGTAGATAGATAGATAGATAGATAGATAGATAGGTAGATAGATAGGTAGATAGATAGATAGAGGACACAGGGTGAATTGAATGTGAAGGGGTGATATCTGGAGAATAAAATTAAGGGATGAGAGAGGATTATACTGGGAGAAGGAGAAAGGGAGAGGTAGAATGGGGTAAATTATCTCACAAAAACAGAAAAGAAAAGGCTCTTACAGTGGACGGGAAACAGGGGAAGGTGACAGGGAATGAGTGAATCTTATTCTCATCAGATTTGGCTTAAGGAGGGAGTAACATACACACTCAATTGGGTATGGAAATCTATCTTACCTTACAGGAAAATAGGGGGGGAAGGGGACAAGAGGGCAGGGGGATGATAGAGGAGAGAGCAGATTGGGAGAGGGGTAATCAGAAGCAAACACTTCTGAGAAGAGACAGGGTCAAAAGAAAGAATAGAATAAATGGGGGGCAGGATAGGATTAAGGGAAATAGAGTTAGTTTTTCACAACATGACTACTATGGAAATGTTTAGCATAACTGCATATGCATAACCTGTATTGAGTTGCTTGCCTTTTCAATGAGGGTGGGTGGGGAGGGAGGAAGGCAGAAAATTTGGAACTCAAAGTTTTAAAAACACATGTTTAAAAAAATGTTTTCACACGCAACTGGGAAACAAGAAATACAGGAAATGGGAATGAGAAATCTATCCTGACCTACAGGAAAATAGAAGGGGAAGGAGATAAGAGAAGCGGGGGAGAGATAGAAGGGAGGGCAGACTAGGGGAAGGGGTATTCAGAATGCATGCCATCGTGGGGTAGGGGGAGGGGTGAGATGGGGTGAAAATTTTGAACTCAAAATCTTGTGGAAGTAAATGTTGAAAACTAAAAATAAATAAATTAAAAAAAAAAAAGAAAACAATATTCATCACTCATCTCTGTACCTTTGCACTGACTGTCCTCTAGACCTGGAATGCTCAGCCTCCTCACCTCCAACTCTTAAGTTCTCCTGACTTCCATCAAGACCCAACTCAAATTCCACTTTCTGAAGGCCTCTCCTGGTCTTACCAGATGCTAATGCCTTCCCCTTCCAGAATACCATCACATATGCTGTGTATACCTTAAATATACACTTAGATGTTTACATGCTGTCTCCCTGATTAGAATGTACAATCAATCCTTGAAAACAGGGACAAGTTGCTACATTTTTTTTTCATGTTTGCCTTTCTTTGTATCACTATTTTTTATCACAGTGCCTGGCACACAGTAAGCAGTTAAAAAATTCTTACTTACTGACTGATGCACTACACATAGTCAGATTTTTACCATATGTTGAAAATTTTGGAGAACTGCCTTTTTTCCCCCATTTTTAAAATTTCTGGTTATAAGAGATTGTTTCTAACCAGTTACCCTGCCATCCAGTTCAAAGACTATGCAAGCCCTGAATTTAACCCTTTCATCTTCAGAATTTTCATCTTGGCCTTCCTCACCTCTTCACCCCACTCCATCACAGTGAGGGCTTCCTGAGACCTACTATATAAGATCAGACCAGTTCCAGCCAGGACAAACTTTACCCAAATCTTCATTTGCCTTGTCACCCAGATCAGAGACCCTGCACTGGAGGATTTAACCCTTTCATAGTCATAACTGCCAAACTGGGACACCCCCACCATCCTAAGTGATGAGCACATCATGGGGACCATTCTTTCCCAATAGGTTGACTTCAGCCATGCTTCCCTCTCCTACCCAGTGAACTCCTCATCAAACTCATTGCCACCATGCACATGCCCAGTGAGCCACTCTTTCCCCCTAACCCCTGCTTGCCTGTTCTGGAGACATAATCAAACTAAAACTGCTATTGCTACTAGGAAGGAAGTAATGATCTTCTTTCCTATGTCTCCATTTAACATCATTATAGAGTTGCCAAACCAAAATATCCCTCCTGACCCTGCTATCCTTTTATGTGTTGTCTCCTTCTATTACTATATAAATTCCTTGAAGTCAGGGACAGTTTTCACTTCTGTATTTGTATTCCCAGAGTTCTGTACAGTGCTGGGACCTATACTCCTGGTGAGAAAAACAGTCTCTTCAAATTGTGATCAGCAACTGTTCTGCAACAAAGTCTTCAAGAGTTGACTAGGGACACAGAGAGGTTAACTTGTCAATGGTCACATCACTAATATCTGTCAGAGGCAAGTTATTAATAGTTATTAATAATAGGTCTAACTGAAAGGAAAAAAAAGTTAAAGAGATGAAAGAATTATCATTTGTGTATAAAAAGGCTCTGGTAAAAATGCCAAATTCCATGAGGATATGTAAGAGTCAGGAAAATAATACAGCAAAGTAAAGTAAAAGGAAAATTAAATAGGTAAAATAAAAAAAAGAAAATGTGAGCATGAGTTTAAAACAAAATGGGAATTGGAAGAGATGATTACTATAGACCTTTCTTGTTATAATTCTGTGTTATGCAGTGCTTATGGAAATTCTGTTGGTTAGTTTGTTTGGTAGTAGCAAAATAATTATAAGTGCTTCTATCACACAGAAATAATACCATTTAATATAAAAACAGGAAGGCACAAATGAAAACAGCATGTAGTAAAATGGTAAGAAATCACAGAGAAATTATTTTTAAACACTACATCAGTGTTTTCTAAGAGTTAACATTTGGACTTCTCCAGTTTTCTTCAAGTGTTATCAGCGAAATCCTCAAAAAAATTTCAAAACCAAAGTAAGCTTAAATTTTACCTTTAAAACTAAAAATTATGGGGGCAGCTAGGTGGCACAGTGGATAGAGCACCGGTCCTGGATTCAGGAGGACCTGAGTTCAAATCCGGCCTCAGATACCTGACACTTACTAGCTGTGTGACCCTGGGCAAGTCACTTAATCACAATGCCTAGCCAAAACAAACAAACAAAAAAAACTAAAAATTATGTAACGTTGAGCAAAGATAAAATATTATGAAATCCAAAAAATAACAGAGCATTTCAACTTCAAAAATATTGGGATTCACAGAACTTTTAAATGACCAAAATTAAATTTAATTCCAGTAGGTGGTGCCATGGATAAAGGGAGGGAAAAACAACAACACAAAACTACCTAGTTTGTGGAACAATAATTATTCATAGTATGAGATTTATTCAAAGTATGAATTTAGTAGTCTGATAATCCTAGATGTCAATAAATCAATTACCAACTTGAAAATCCAGCATGTTATAAAATCATACTCCTTTATAGTTGCTATTTTAAATATTAAGTCTGAAAATATTTACTATGAATCAGTTACTAATCTTCAAAAAGTTATTAATCTTCAAAAAAATTCAACTTAAGAATTTTAGCACCTATACATCTAAAACAAAGGATACAGAGACAAGGGACTAGAACTGGATGTTCCTGACAAGGGACATCTTATCAGTGTAGACCTTTACCTTCTCTGCAACTTATACTCTTAGTGCCTAGAGAACTGAAAGGGTTAAGTGTCTTGCCCAGGGTCAGACAGTCCAGGGGCAGGACTTGATCCCAGTTCTTCCTGACTTCAAAGTCAGCTCTCTATCCACTATGCCATAATGCCACTTATTTATGAAAAGCTATATCAAATTATGCAAAATGATGCCATGAAAAAAATTTCAAGAAAAGAAAAAGATAATGAAAGTTTTAAATTGGACTATAAATTCAAAAGAAAACTCCCCATTTGCAATCTGTTAGCAAACTAACATATGTTAAATATGTTTTCAATGAACATAAAGAAAAGCATAAGGATTATCATAGCTGTATCCCATAGAGTGGGGAGAAAAAAACTTGTTTAAATAAAAATTCTTAATTTTTGATTTGATTACCTGAGGGTTGGAGGTCACAAAGACTAAGAGACATATGTTTATTCTGACCTTCTATTTCATCTTGACATTTCAATTTGGAATGTTCATGAAGTTTATCATCCAGAAAACTCACTTTGCTGCTGCTTTTTTTTCTATTGTAGCCCCTTAAGTTATCTTCAGAGATATTTGGCAATGATTTAGGACTTGGAAGATGTCTAGAACCTGCTTTTTAAGAAACAAATATTATAAAAAGTAGTTTTATCAGATAAAATAATAAATACAATTACATTTTCAAATTGACAAGTAATGATATCAGAAAAGTATATTTTCCTAAAATGGATCAAATATCTGATAAAATGCACGAAAGTCAGCATAGTTTAACAATCTAACACTTAATATAATGAATCTGTATTACTATAAAACGGATCAGTTGAACAATTATTTTCCAAAGATAGGAAAATGTTATATTTTAAGCATAATTTTAAAACGGAAGAATTTAATTTTCACAACAAAGGTTTAAGTTCTGTAAAATAAAGTAGTGTTCTATTTTTTCTCATAGAGCCATAGAATATTATAGCTGGCAGCAATATTAGAGATAATTTAGTTCTAATACATTTCATTTACAGATAAGGAAACTGAGGCCCAGAAGTTAAACGACTTACCCAAGTCATGTCAAAACCAGGGCAACCTAATTCGCTTAAGTTTGAAATTCTGTAAAGTGGCTTAATTTAAAATAAAGAATACTAGGCCTATAAAATGAACTGTAAAAGCATACTTTATTTTTATTTTTCAGAGTAATGATAACTATCTTCAAAATGTGTACCAGTGCTTTTGCTTTGAAATTAATTTTGAAAATTCCCCAAACTAGACTGTTTCTAGAGTTCTTGCTATAGTAAAATTAATATTAACAAAATTCTGAAATTCTTGTTTTCCCTTATGTCAAATCAAAAGCCCTTTTTTTCCCCATTACTTACACAAATAGAGACCATAAAAACAAGCTATTTCCATACCAATCCTCCAATATCAAACAACTATATGTAATCAAGGAAGAGAATTATTTATTGATGACAACCTGTATTCCTTCCATTATGTCCCCTTTTCTGCACCCTACCAGCAATGGAAACGGCATTCAAGAAAGAAAGTATATCTATGTTCAAATATAGTCATAGCAAAATCTGCCCCAGACCTGAAACCAGATTAGAGGTTTGGAATGATAAGTATATTATAATTAAAATGTAACTACAGAAATTTTTCCATCATCATTTACTGTAATAAATATCTACATGAAGACAGGCATTCTCATTTAGATATGCTGAATAAGAAACAATTTCCTAATAAACTTGGAAGGCACCACAAAAAAGTGTCCCATGTTAGAGTCATCAAACCTCCTCTTGTGATAATATAGGGAAAGGGATGAAATGAAATACAGATCCATTTCTTTGCTGCGAGGTTCTCCATCTAATTGATGCATGGGCCTCATGTACTATCTACTACCCACTTCTTATTTTGATATGGGAAGAAATAAAGCAACTAGAAGGTTAAGAATTCATTAACAATATATACTATACATTATAGTTCAAACACCTAAAACAATAAAGTTCTTTATATAATTGTTCACCAATGAAATTACAAAAACAAGCCAGAGTTCTGTTTAAAAAATATGACTGATAATCAATTAAACAAACTGTCCTAAAGGATTTATAAGTTTATAAAAAAAGTTGCTTTAAAGCAAAGAATCAGACCACAGCTTCCAATACTGAAATAAGGAGCTCTTAACTAGAAAACCAGACCTGAACAAATTATTTGCTTTTCAAATATCTCAGATAACATCAATTCAAGAAATGTAAATAAATCCATCCACTAAGGACCAGGGGGGAAAAAAAAAACAACAGAGAGACTGAGAGATTTCTTCCTAAATATACATAAGAAGACAAGTGTGAAAGCATCAAGCAAATAGAAGTGGTAATGGAGAATATTTAAAAAAAGCAAAGATATACACAAACAAAATAAAACTGAAGTGATAGAATTTTTTTTATACTATACATAAAGTGAATTTTTAAAATCAGGAGTAACAATTATGTTATTTGACAAAGTAAAAACAAACATTCAAAACATAAAAAGGGATAAACAAGGAAACTATACTATGCTGAAGGAAATCATATAGAACAAACCAATATCAATATTAAATTCATCTGCTCTAAATGGCTTATTATCTAAATTCATAAAATAAGTATTAATTGAGCAACAAGGAGACATATACAGACAGCAACACAAGAGTGACAGAACATCTCAACGTCCCTCTCTCAGTTGTGAATTAATCTCACAGGATGATAAACAAAAGAGAAAATATATAATTGAACAAATTGCTGGAAAAACTATAGCTAAAAGATCTATGGTGTCTTCTAAATGGTACTGCTAAAGAATATTCGTATCTTTTTTTTTTTTTTGGTTAGGCAATGGGGTTAAGTGACTTGCCCAGGGTCATACAGTTAGTAAGTGTTATGTGTCTGAGGCCACATTTGAACTCAGGTCCTCCTGAATCCAGGGCCGGTGCTCTATCCACTGCGCCACCTAGCTGCCCCCTAAAGAATATTCATATCTTTCAGCATCAAATAGTTAACTTTTACAAAAATAGGACATGTATTAGGAAACAGAAATACTGCAACAAATTTTAAAAAGGTAGAAATAGTAAACATATCCTTTATAGGTCGTAATGCAATAAAAATAATAATCCCTTCAAGGAGCACAAATAAAAGATACAAACCCAAATGAAAACTGAACAATTAAATCCTAAATAATGAATGAGTCAAATAACAACAAATCATAAAAACAATGAATAATTATGTGAAAGAATATTACAATGATAGAAAAAAACAAAACTTCTGGGATGCAATTAAAGTAGTCTTTGTGGGGGGGTATCATATCCCTATAAACATAAATTAACAAAATAGAAAAAGAAATGATTAATTGAACATGTATTTTAAAAATTGGTAAGCCAATAAATGAGCAAACCTAAAATAAGCCCAAAAGATATATTTAAGATTAGATAAACAGATGATCTAGAAACAAAAAACTCATAAAAAATACAAAATTAAAAGCTGGTTCTTTGAAATGACTAATAAAATTGATAAATCTTTAGTCAATCTGATTTGAAAAAAGCAGTCAGAAAATCAAATCAACAAAACAGCAAATAAGCAGGTCAAAATCACAACAAAACTATAAGAAATAAAAAAGGATCAACAGAATTTATTACAGTTACATGTTAACAAAACTGAGGTAACAAAAGAAACAGAAATATAAAGTAACTAACAGAACACACAAAAAAAGAAATTCTAAATAATACAAATCCAGAAAAGGAACTACCAAAGGGGGAAGAAAAAAAACCTGGTTGTGGATTCATGAAATACTTCTATCAAATTTAAAGAACAATTAGTACCCACATTATGCAAATTATTCTCAAAAATTGAAAAAGAAAGCACCCTACCAGAAACTTTTCATAAGACAAATGCAGTCCTAACACCTAAACCACAGAAGGATAAAATACAGAACTATAGACCAATATCATTAATGAATAATGACTCAAAAATTTTAAATAAAAATTAGTTAAATATAGTAATTTATTCAAGAAAGTATTCCTCATAACAAAATTGGATTTATACAAGGTATGTCAGGATATGGTTCAACATTAGTAAAATAATCAACATAGCTATTCATATTAATGACCAAAACATCCAAAACCACAGAATTATCACAACAGATGCAGAAAAAGCCTTTGACAAAGTGCAACACCCAGCTATACTAATAAATAAATGGATGGAAAAATAAATAAATAAAAACTTATAAAATATAGACAGAATGGGACTTTTTTTTATCAGAAAAAGTATATCTAAAACCAAAAACAAGTATCATATAAAATGGGAATACACTAGAAGCTTCCCTGATACATACAGGAGTAAATGAAAGATGCCCACTCTCCCCACTATTATTTGCTAGTAATACAATAAGACAAGAGAAAAAAAATGAAGAAGTAAAGACAGGTAAAGAAAAGACAAAACTATCACTATTTGACATGATGGTTTTTAATTAGTAAATCCTAGGGAATCAATAAAGATACTAATTCAGACAGTAGATTCAGCTAAGCTGCAGCCTACAAAATAAACCTCCAAAAATCAACTTCATTACTATAAAACAGTAACAAAATCCAAGATACAATAATAAAAAGGGAAATCTCTTTCTAAATAATCACAACACGAAAAAAGATCTGGGTATCAATCTACTAAAGCACACAAAATACTTGTACAGCTTCAACTCCAAAGAGCCCCTTAAAGCAATGCCAATTGTTCCTTAAAGTAGTACAGAACAACTTAAATAGCTCATGGTGTTGTACTGTGGCCAGATAATAAAAATATACCAAAGATAATTTATACTTTCAATAATATGCCAATCAAATCAAAGGGATACTTGTAGAATTTAATAAATAATGAACAAAATTCATTTGGAAAAATTAAAATCCTAGAATATCAAGGGAAACAATGAAAAGAAGTAGAGACAAAGGAAGGACAGCACTTTCAGTCCCTAACCTAAACTACAGAGTAAACCAGCAGTCATCAAAACCATCTAGTATTGGTTTTAAAAGACAGGTAGATCAATGGAACAAACTAAACATAGGAGAATCAGAAACAATGGAACTTAATAACCTAATGTTTGATAAGCTGGAAAACATAAAAATTACTTAGGAAGAACTCTTTATTTGATTAAAAAAAAATACAACCTACTGTGAAACTAGAAAGTAATCTGGCAGGAATTACACTTCAACCAAAATCTTACCCCATATTTCACAAAACATTCTAAATGGATATGTTAGTATTAAAGATCAGACTATAAAAAAGCTAGAAGAGAAGAAGATAATATATCTCCTAAGCTATGGACTGGAGATGTATTCTTAATCAAAGAATAGAGGCAATTACAAAAGATAAACCAGGTAACTTGGATCACATGAAATTTAAAAACTTCTCCACAAACAAAATCAATGCACCTACGATAAGAAGGGAAGCGGTCAAATGGGGGGAAAAATATTTGTACCAAATTTCTCTTACAAAGGTTTAGTATCTAAGATACATAAACAACTAACAGATAAGTATAAAACCAAGAGATAAGCAAAGAACATGAATAAACAGTTCTCAAGAGAACTGCAAACTATTAACAACCATATGAAAGAATGCTCCAAAACTAACAGAAATGCAAATCAAAACAACCCGAAGGTTTCACCTCATACCCAGCAAATTGTCAAAGACGACAAAGTTGAGAATAGTCAGTGTTGGACAAGTTATAGAAAGACAGACACACTAGTGCATTGTTAGTGGAACTGTGAAATGGTATAACCATTTTGGAGAACAGTTTGGAATTATGCAACTGAAGTGAATAAAATGCCCTTACCCTTTGACCCAAAGATTCCACTACTAGGCTATTATACCCCAAGGAAGTCATTAATAAGAAGACAATTCCTCATATACACCAAAATATTTCTTGCAGCATTTTTTGTGACAGCAAAGAATTAGAAATAAAGTAGATGCTCACTGACTGGGGAATGGCTACATAAATTACGATACATACATGTAATGGAAAATTACTATGCAATAAGAAATGATGAATGTGATGAATAGAGAGAAACACAGAAAAATCTACATGACCTATATTTGCTGCTCCTCAAGTAAGTTTAGAGCATTAGAATAATAAGCAGTTACCTTAAGCACTATTCTAGAAATCAGCTTATTTTATGATGCATATAGCTGCTTTTTATAATAAAGATTTACTAAACCTTCTTCAGAATCTGTGCCTACATCACTTGACTACAAACCATTTCTAAAAATTTATTAGATGTAATAATTTACATTTATATAGCCCAGTAAAGATCTGTAAAGCACTTCATGTACATTATCTCATTTAATATTCACAGCAACCTATGAGTTAAGTATTAGGTCACTATTATTCCCATTTCCCAGATGAGAAAAGCAACATTCCGAGAAGTTAACCTGCCTATGGTCACACAACTATTACATATCAGAGGCAAAGTTCAAGCCCAAGTCTCTCCTGACACCAAGTCAAGAGCCATTTCGTCTATACCACTAGCCTCTCCATATTCCCTTCAAGCACACTGCAATAAGCCAAGATAGGAATAAATGAAAGAATCTTGGTCACACTTTACCGTGATATATCTTTATGTCTAAATATGTATATAAATATGGAATATATACAGAAACATTTTGCATTTAAAAAAGATCCTTTACTAATAAAACATTAAAATACTGGTAACTAAAATAAGCAAAGAAGGCTGTTCTTTTTTTTTTTTT